TATCACAATAAAACAGGAAACAGACATCGACGACTCGGGTACCATCACAACTATAGTAAAAAACAAAACAAAGCATTAATAACATTAACACTTCAATGGAAAGTCAGAATTTAAGCCCCGTCCCCCAAATGAATAAATAAATAAAATAAAAAAATCGGGTCACGATAGCTGGGGTTTGTTAGTGAAGAAGGTCAAAAAGTTAGGAGTGAGAGTCATTTGGACTGGAACTGGAATTTAGAGTTCCAATTCCAAAAATGCAAATAAAACAAGTGTTGAACGCAACACAACAAATCTCAAAAAAAGTTGAGACAGGATTGTGTTTATGAGTGTTTATCATCCCCTCTTCTTTTAATAACACTCCTTAAATGTCTCATAAATGAAGAGGCAAGTCGCTAAACTGTTGATCAAGGAATGCTGTCTGATGTAGGATTCATTCTGCTTTTCTGTATTTCTCTTCAATCAGATTGAGCGGATCGGGGATGATGTGATCAACAGTACAAAAAAATGAGATGCAGAAGTTTTGGACTTACTTTATTGTAGTTTTAACTATATGGCCAATCGGGATGCAGTTTGGAGCATGGAGAAATTATTTTAAACATGAGTTGTTTTAGGACTTTATTCTAAAAATTTTTTATTCATAATAAAAAAAAAACCATTGATTTTTATTTTGGAACAATCTACAAGATTCTTTGATCATCCTTCAAGAAAATGGCACACTGTGTTTCTCTGATATCTAATTAACAAATTCAGCTGCTATTGAGTTTTACCTCTCGCTTTCTGCCCAGATGCTCTGCTACACAAAAAACAAGTGAGTTGCCATTACAAACATCATGCAGGTGAAAATATTTTTCCATACACACTCTGAGCAGATGTAAAACCCAGCATTTAACAGCATTACTAACAAGTAACATATCAGAGCTCACTGCATCAACCTGATGGGAAGAACGTGAAAATTTATGATGGAAAAAAAGTGTTTTTTCTAACAGTGACTATTTCAAAATGAATAAAATATATATATTTATAATATATTTATACATACATGCTGGTATTGACAGCAGCCATCGCTAGTGATTTTTAATCTGTATTTTTAGCACCTTATTTTGCCCCCCCCCCCAACAAAAAAACAAAATAAAAAACAAATACAAAAACAACCCCTTGTCATTCAAGAGCATAAGACAAACTATAGTTGTACAAAACACTGGAATACAGTAATGAAGTGCAATACTAAGAGTGGTTTTCAGTGTCGGGGTGGAAGAAAACCTGGGCATTAAGTGTCAGTGTGACCTCTCAAAGCGGTGTCAGACTATTAGCACATAGCTGGTCTCTGGAGCCACGGCACCAACCGCCTTCAAGTCATTCAGTTGTGAAATTTAATAAGTAACACAGTTCAAACAACACATTTTTATCAAAGGATGCCAATGCCTCCATCCTGCACTTCACACTGACACATCTGGATAAAACTAAAGTTCTGGACACTACTCTCTGAACGCTGTTTGTGGACTTCTCATCGTTGTACCATCCAAGCTGATGGCCACACATCTGGGCATCAGCACTTCACTTTGCAACTTAACTCTGGGATTTCCAACCAACAGACTCCAGTCTGTTAGGTTAGATAGCCACATTTCCTCTGCCTTGATGTTTAGTATGAGGGTACCACAAGGCTGCATAGTCAATTCACTCCTCTAGTCACTGTTCATTTACAACTACATGAATCAAATAAATTGTGAAGTTTTCAAATGACATCAAGGCTTACAGGAAAGAAGTGGAAAATCTAGATTCTTGTTGGGGGACAAAAGAATCTGACCCTTAACAGCAGAAAGATGAAGGAGCTCATTGAATGAAGCTCACTCGTGTGAGTCTCAGTACCGTACTTCTGTATGATTAGTTTTGGTGATAAGCCATGTCTTGCAGACTTCTGACAGTCCACATTGAATATAGTCCAGTTGGTCATGAAGTCATGAAGTTGTTCAAAAGTCTGCACTGGTCACACTTGTATTGTTCTAGTGAGTGGTTTAACCATGTTAATAACTTGTCTGTATGTTGGAATAAAAAACAGAGATCTGTTCAAATAGTCCGAGATGGGAGAGAGGTGAAGCCTTGAAACCAGTGTTACTATTATTGTGGTCAAGTGTGTTTTTTCCTTGATGGATATGCTAATAAAATTAGGGCAAGGGAGTTTAAAAAAAATGACTCTTTTGTCATCACCCATTACAAAAACTGTCGGGATCGGCCCTCTGTTGTTTACTAATAGTATGTCTGTGAAGGTTCTCAGTCATCCAGGTCATCGTAGTCAAAGGAGCTTGCAAAGAAAAGTGTCTGGACTTCTTTAAGTTGCTTGAAGACGTTTCACCTCTCATCCGAGAAGCTTCTTCAGTTCTAAGGTCAAATGGTGGAGAATCCCAGATATAAACCTAGTGGGAGTGACCCCCACAGAGGGACAAAAGGACCCCCTGATGATCCTCTAATCGCCTGAGCCAAGGTGTGAAACTGGGTGTGGGTCCCAATCAGCCAGAGTTTCGGGTGTGTTCGTTGTGAAACCTGGCCCCACCTTATCATGCGAATTCCTGAGGTCAGATTCACATTTTGGACAGAGAGGACAGATGGTTTGAAAGAGGAGTGAAAGAAGCCATCTATGTCCACTGTGAGCGACCATCTTTGAACAGAGGCGGGGGTTTACGACACCAACTCTCTGCCATCTATAATCCAGTTTTGAGATCCCTTCCCAGACGCCTTAACGCCCACTCACATCCTGGGCCATCTGATCTCAGGAATTCGCATGATAAGGTGGGGCCAGGTTTCACAATGAACTCACCCGAAACTCTGGCTGATTGGGACCCACGCCCAGTTTCACACCTTGGCTCAGGCGATTAGAGGATCATCAGGGGGTCCTTTTGTCCCTCTGTGGGGGGTCACTCCCACTAGGTTTATATCTGGGACTCTCCACCATTTGACCTTAGAACTGAAGAAGCTTCTCGGATGAGAGGTGAAACGTCTTTAAGTAATTTAAAGAAGTCCAGACGCTTTTCTTTGCAAGCTCCTTTGACTTTACTAATAGTATTTAGCAAGTAGTCCAAAGCTGCTGTGATGTTAGCATCCAGGGTTAAGTAAGAACAGGAGCCTTTATGACAACTGTAAACTCTCATTGCAGATAGAACTGGCAACACTTAACTGTTACATACTCCAGTGACACCAGTTGTTTTTAATATCAACACAGAGCTCCCCTCCTCTGCTCTTACCGGTGTCCGTCATCCTGTCCACTCATTTATGTGCGCTGCACTTGCTGTAACACTGCTTTAGACAGTTAAAAATATTTACTGTACCAAAACTATTCATGAACTAAAAGCTATGTTTAGTGTTGGTTTTCTAGGTTCCTCCAGGTTCATGCATCCCCCGTGTTTTGCAGACAAGTCACATCTCCATGTCTCAGTTTCAAGTCTGTCTTTGTGAATGTCTCGTTTCCTGTTTTACTTTGATAGTCTTGTGTCCTTTGCTAATGTTTCCAGTTTTGCTTCCTTCCCATCTCGTTATGTGTAATTTCTCCCAGCTGTGCTCTCCTCCTGTGTCTCATTCCCTTGTTTTCCATCTGTGTATTTAAGCCTTTTTGTCTTCCTCTGTTTGCTGCCGGATTATCTGTGCATCACTTGCTGCATTTTTCCATGTTCCATGTCTCTACTGTTGACCAAATGGCGCTTTCTGAAGCACTGAAGCTTGTATTGAAAAACGGTTCATTACGCAAAGCTTTTCAACACAGTCATCTTTGGTGACATCTGGTGGCCAAAAATATGAAGGGCAGCTCAAATCTACAACTTAGAATGAACTGCTTCATTATGATTGCACACACTGAAGAGCTGAATTGACAGCTTCTGTTTGATATCATGTGACAGTTTTTTCTGATATCGTGTTTTAAAGTTTTTTCCAGTTTAGGTTTTTCTAGTTTAGTCATTCTGTTCTTTGCATTTGTTTGTATTTTGCTTGGCTGTCATAAAGGCTCACTTTCATTTTAAGTCTGTCGCCATCTGTATTTGGGTCCACACTCTCTCCACTCTGCCCAGTTCAACTGAGCCCTTGTCTCATGCCTGCCACAAATATTCAAAATATTACCCAGAAGTTACAATAAACCATATTAAATTGTTGCATTATCTAGTTTAGAGAGCTGCTAACTCTCTTAGAGTGGACCAGCTTCCATGAAGGTCTTTCTGTGAGTCATGCAATGTGCTGACATCCAGTGGCTATGGCATGAACTGCATCACAAAAAGAAAATGTGAAAGAGCTTATTTGATTGTTTATGCGATCACTTTGCTGAGGTAAGGGAGTGACAGGCTCAGGTTATCACTGCTACACTGTTGTCTAATGAGATCGAAGACAAACAACAATGCTCCACCAGCTTGTAGAGTGTTATTAACTCACTATAATTAAGCATTTCTTTTCGCACATGAACTGCAGCCCTGGTAAGAAAAACATAAATTGACTGTTCATGTTCAGGCCATGACCAGGGGCATCTACAGGTTGATCTATACAGAAATGCAGAAGAAATGTGTATGGGCATAGACATAGAGAGACAGGTAACTTCATTGTGTTGATTCTGGAATATTCTGGATTACTGCAATAGGACGGGGCTGCACAGCGTCAACGTGTTAGCGCGATTAGCTCGTTAACACGTTGACGCTGTCCAGCCCCATGCATGGGGCCATCTGCCGGTAACTTGTTAACGGAGGTTTGCTGAGTTAATGCAGTTATGGCGTTAACATCATTTTAACAAGATTAAAGCGGACACCACTAACTAAACTCAACCAACTGGCAAAACAAGAGCTGAGGAAATCTAGTATATTTGTCAGTGAGCTTAAAAATCCTATCCATCAAAAAATGTGCTTCCAAAACAATGACAGTAGTCATTTTCTACATTTTCTGACAGAAAATCCGGTTGAGGAGTTCCATGAAAAAGAGGGTGCAGTCACAGTGAGATATGATTGGGGAAAATCTGACCAGAATTGCACACAGAATGATGTAAAAAGGTATAATTTATTGTCTGAATTCTTCCAAAATTGCATTTATTATTACTACTAATATCTACAGTGTCATCAAATCCAAAAGATCTGAAGATCTTTTCTAGTTTTCCATTTGAAGTACTTCATTAGGCTTAGTCATTGGATTGCTGTGACATAGTAACACATTCAGGTTCATATTATGTGTCAGATGTTTAATATTCATTAAACATTTTCAAACTCTTGTGCACTATTTAAAACTGTATAGTCACACTCATACTTGTGAGTTCTATAGCTTGTGCTCTCCAGCACTGATGCTCTGGTAGATCGTGTCTGTCAGAGGAATGTAGCTCTTTTGCTTGTAGTCCAACACATAGAGAGGATCACTGACTTTTGAGGGGTTGAAACCACTCTGCACCAGATGGAACTTTTGCTGTTTGAAGGTACTTGTCGTTTCCATGACCTCCTGAGAGGAAAAAACAATCTGAGTTACTTCAGAGTAGCAGGATGTTTAAACTGATTTTAGTAACATATTTTACCTGAAGCCTTATGAAAAGTGGACGAGCGTATCCTGGTAGATCCCTCACTACATGCTCAAACAGCTTCTTTCCATCAAATATGAAGCCCGGTCTTACAATGATTGATGCCATTCCTCCTCTGCCCTCGTGTCCTGTGAACAACATGGATCAATGTTAAGGGATACTGTTTTTCACTGATGCCACATGGACATCCTGCTTGTGTTTAATTGGCTAAGGACAGCAAAAATGTAGCACTTGGCGAAGTAGATATTGTGGATATTTAAAAAAAGAAAACATCTATACTGCAAGTTCTCACAGTCTTAGTAACTGCATTACTAATTAAGCATGGCGACATGATACCTGGTACTTGCACTCCATACACGTTGACTTCTTGGATAAAATCTACCAGCCCAAGAATCTCTGTCACCTCTGTCGTGGCTACATTTTCACCCTTCCACCTGAAATTGGGGGGGGAAAAAATTAATTGGTAGAAGCATAGTCTGTGTCAGACCAGGCTTTACACTCGTATGGTAACAACCTGTGTTACTGCTGGCATCTGTCCTTTTTGATTTTTTAATTTTTTGTTTAATCCTTATTCAGTGTGGGCCTTTGGCAAGTCTTTCCCAAGGTAAACTGATCTCTTGTTTTTCCTTGCTTCGTAGGAGTTGCCAGGGCCTTGTCACTGACTCTGTTCATATTTTTTTAAAAGCTAAAGGTAGCCAAATAGTGGATGATTTACACTCTGTTGTTCTCAAGATCTCACATCTGCTTTTTTCTCATAATGTGGTTCAGGTGGCTTCATCAAATGACCTACAGCTTGCCTTCAAGTCTTAACTAGAAAAGAAGTGGACTGACCACACTGGCCAATGACAAGTTACTGCCCCAAGCAGAGGAGTTCAAGTTCACGAGTGAACAAGAAAACCAAGCCTACCTCATGATAGAAGCAAGAGAGAGGGATAACTGAAGCCATAGTGGCTCAGACGTCACCTGGATTGATAAGGTCTGTGTCACAAATTGAGGAACCAGGACACACAGATAAGTAGTGGGCTACTGGAAAAAGCAGGTACAAGTGAGCAAGGGATGAGAACAGGGCCTGTTAAATGGACTTCTTATATAGCTCTTATCTACTCTAAGCACTCAAAGCTTTTTACACAACTTACCTCATTCACTAATTCACACAAGCACTTTTTTCTAAGCTGTTGGAACGCTACTATGCAAGTAACCCCAGCAAAAGTGGTTACATGAAGAGGATGTGGGACCTATGGAATCCTCAATACCCAACATCTAGACTGACGGCAAAACAACTGGTAGCTCAGTGTTCCGACATTCAGAAGCAACTGGTATCACAACTGGACAATGATGAGGTACGACACAAATGCTATGGGAAGAGGGAGCCAGGACATTTCTTTTGGCTGTAGTACTCACGATTGGGCACCAAGCCCAAAAGTACACCTGGTGTGTTGAAGGCACTGAGTGTAAGAACAGCTGACCTGAGCGATAGGATCATGGCTAAGCTGGAAAACTGAACCCCTAGTGGCCAAATACCAGAACTATGTGCATGCAGCATCCAACAGTCCCTGCTGCGACCATCACTGAAAGCAGCAGCTGATCTACTGACTGCAGTCACTGAGCATCTGGCTAACTGAAGGCCTGACTGTCCTGTTCGAGAATATACCATCATCAGATAGACCAAGTGGCTGACATCCAGAAATCCTACCAGTGGCTGGACAAAGCTGGACTGAAAGACACTAATCGTGGCAGCGCAGGAACAAGCTCTGAGCACACGATCCATACAGGCTGGGGTCTACCACACCCGGGAAGACTGCAGTTGCAAGCTGTGCAAAGATGCCACTGATGCCACAATCTAGCACCTAACAGCAGGGTGCAAGATGCTAGCAGACAGGGCATACATGGAATGCCATAACCAGGTGGCTTGCATAATACACAGGAACATCTGCGCCTAGTAACTCCCAAGGCTAAATGGGACATGCCCCCATTCAGAATAACTGAGCTAAGATCCTGTGGGACTTCCAGACAGACAAACTGATGATGACTAACCAACATTGAAACGGTGGAGGAAGATGGCTGTAGTGATAGATGTAGCTATACAGAGTAATAAGCTAGCTACACTTTTGAGAGGCGCAAGAAGTGTCAAGGGCTGAGAGAGAAACTCAAGAAGAGGTGGAGCGTAAAGGCCACTGTGGCAATCAGAGCACTTATGGCAATGACTCCCAAGCTGGGCAAGTGGCTTCAACAGATCCCAGGACCAACATCCAAGATCTCTGTCCAGAAGAGCGTAGTCGTAGAAGCAACAAAGATACTGTACAGGACCCTCAAGCTCCCAGGCCTCTGGTAGAAGACCCGAGCTCGAAGGACACGAGCTTGAAGGATCAAGACCATATGCTCTTGATCCTTCAAGCTCAGGTCTTTTACCAGAGGCTACATAGAGGTCTATATAGAAAATGTATGCAAATCAAATCTAAGAACATCGTAAACATCTTATCCAAGTACCTGAATGTGTCTCCGACTCGGTCTCTAAAGAAAATGAAGCCCTCATGGTCTTCCGCCATGAGATCGCCTGTGTTAAAGTAGGCATCACCCTTGACAAACACATTTCTCATCAGCTTCTTTTCAGTCAGTTCCTTGCTTCCAGCGTAGCCAAAGAATGGGCTAATAGCGCTGACCTTGGAAAGTAAAAGCCCCATCTCACCTGAGAATAACAGAAGTTCAAAATCAATACAAATACTTGTTCAAAACTTTCAAGTTTAAAAGGGAAGAATAAGAAATGAATTTGTATTCCAACCTTACCCTTGTCCACTCGCCGGCAGAAACCATACTGATCTTTCACTGGTTCATCTTTCACAATGTCATACTTCACCAAATCATACTTAAACAGGAGCTACACAAAATGTCAAAAGGAAATAGTGTTATGGTGGGTAACTGATGAACAGAGTAATCAACTATGAGGATTGGAACACCATGTGGATTGAGAGAAGTATCTAAGCAGCTTTAAAGTCCTGAAAAAAAAATCAATACCTTTTGTAGTCACTGTCAAAAAACAAAACAAAAAAACTTTATACATAATTTCTACATCTTAGCAGATGGCATTAACTCACTGTAGACATTAAAATGTGCTAGTTTCAATAAGAATAGCTAATTAGCCCACAGATTTGCTTAATGCTAAATGTCTTTAAGGGCATTTAAACATATACATTTACATTAATATGTAAAGCCAGCACACACCACTTCTAAACAATAGTGCAACAGTGGAAATGGTCTGTAGCACCAAGTTCCTGGAAGTACAGAAAACAGACACTCAGTGATGCAGATCAGAGCTCTTCCTAAGACAGTTCTGCATCGCCTGCACTTCTTTGCAGCGGTTGAGGAGAGCTCAGCCACCCTCTCCTATCCTTAACACTTTCTATGTGCATATCTGTTTGCTTGGGAGCTCGCAGTGCCACAAACTGGAAATCTGTAGAGAGGGTGGGGACAGCAGAGAAGATCAATGTGTGTTCACTTTCCCCCATCCAGGACATTCTGCAGAAACGCTATCTGACCAGAGCAAACAAAATCCTACAGAAACCCTCTCATCCCCAACATGGTCTGTTCTCTCTCCTGACATCTCGGAAGAGGTTCTGCAGCATTCGTACCAGAACAGCAAGATTCTGCAGCTTGTACCTTTCCTGCTGTATTCAGAACCAGGCAGGTATTTTTGTTGTAATGTACAGTGTTGGTGTATAGAAGGAATGACAAAAGTCAGTCAGTCAAGCTTTTGTTAACCAATAGGTAATGAAACTAAATGCTAAATAATTAATGGATTGGTTCTTACAATTTAGCCCAATGATTTTCACAACTACAGAGGAAATGCTCACATACAAATTATAAACAATATGGAAAACTAGATACAATGAAACTATGAAAAATGTATGAATAAACCCTTGTTTCTTCATATGTTGTTTTTAAGGAGCCAGACTAACATATAACAACCAGTGTTGTGTCTACACTTACACATCCTCAAGAGTAATTAGCTGAAAATTTGAAAACTATTAAAAGAAATTTCAAGAAAGCTTGCCTAAGAGATTTCAGATGTGTTGACGAACAATAGTGTTGATGCCGAATATTGACTTTCAGGTCCATTAGAATAGTAAAAACTCTGCTTTGCTTTGTACATTGTATTTACATGTTTGTATATGTTTCAGTTGACAGCTGGACACATTTAGCATTTTCCTAGCAAAATATAAAGAAACTAGATAATGCATTTACTAAAGAAAAGGCAGTGTGAATTGCTAAAAGCTGAATGACTTGAGCTGAATTGTTGAAATATTTGGGAAAATTGTTGAAGCTGCTAAAACACAATTTTCCTGAAAGCCAAAGTGCAGAACTGTTGAAAGCTGAATCACACAACGATGCAGAAGTGTCACATTTAATCTGCATTTCATGGGAAAAACACAAACAATACATTGCTAAATATGAAAAATGCCAGCAAAGCATGATGACGTACATGCTCAGCCGAAAGAT